TGGAGGGAACTTGCTACTAAACTCAATAGTATTTAACAACTTCAAACGAATTGGAATTATACATTAAAGGCCTTCTCCTACTTGTATATGGGAAGTTATTATTTTGCAGCACTCTCACGCCAGCAACGAATATGCCCGGCATATAGCACTCATTTTAGTTTTATAAAATGTATATGTTTAGAAGATAAAATATTTATGTACATATGAGTTGAAAATAAATGTCATTTGCTGCAGACAGCTGTTTCGATATGAAATAGAAAGACTTGGAAATAATTGAAATCAAATCAATTTGAATTTGTAAAAACGAAATCACATATTACAATCATCAGTTTACGTTTTCGGATATTAATTATGTAAAATAAAATTAAATATTTAAAAAGAAACGAGAGAAAATCTTACAAAAAGATTGATAGTTTCATGAATAGTGGGCACAAATATATACAAAATCGATCTCTATATCTAAGGTGATATTTTATGCACTTTTAAGTTTTAGGGCTTTTTTGTTTAATTTTATATATTATATGCGCCATACCAGCAATTAGGTATATGTTATGCACATATATTTATAATTAAAATCAAAGTATTCATTACTAAATACAACAACTTACCGATCAGTTGTTAGTGAGAATTTCAAATGGAGAAAATTATGAGCATACGTGACGATGATAGTAAAACTAAATTGCAAAAAAATTGTACTTTCTTCACAGCTGCATTCGTAACAGACGGATCTAAGCTTAACCACATCTTTACAAAACATTTACACACACACATATATAATATGTAAATGCCTAAGTGATGATAAATTACTTAAGGGGCACCACCGCCCTACGAAACCACCCAAAGCGGATGTATTTTAGTGACTATTAACAGAAAAATGAACCTAGTTGGCATTGCTGCCGTAGATACGCGCAGCAACAACTATTTTCTCATTTTACATATTAAATACATATATCGTTGTACATATGCATATAGCTATAGAATTGTATCTAGCTAATACACATACATATATAAGAATTATACTTATGTATGAAAATAAATGAGTTTGCATATGACTTAAAATTTGAATAAGAATATTGAAATTGATTTAAAGTATCATGTTGAAAGGGGGAACATACACATACATATGTATTATACAAGTATGTACAGTATTGTAAATTCCTTGAAATAATAATAAGACTACCAAGATATATCAGCTTCGGTCTTGCAAGTATTTGACATTGGAGAAGAAAGTGCGTGGATGTTTCCACGGCATTGGAGATCCAAATCGAACCCATTCCGGCGAAAGCGGGGCAAGGGTGCCCCTTCTGGCTAGCTCATCGGCTTTGCAGTTGCCAGCGATTTCACTATGATCAGGCACCCAAACGACTCTGATGATGAAGTTGCTTGACGCTATTTCAAGTGATGACTAACACTCCTTGACTAGCTTTGAGCACACAATTCGACTGGATGATCAAAATTGACCCAGACTGGCAAAAAAAATACAAGTTAAGGTATTTTAATACAAATCGTTATCATCGCCTTGAAAATAGGCTTATCTACACTTTTTCTAAGCCTCGGTCGGGATGGACTTCGGTGCATTCTGCGAATTTCGGTCTTTCCGGATTTGATTCAGTTTTAGAGCACAATTCGCTGGATTTTTGAACAGTTTCAACGTCATATTATTAAAGCAACATCTCGTAACTAGTAATGATGAGTTGAGATAATCTGCTATCTCTCTGATGCCAGAACGGACGACCCGCATGAGGCAAGTTTTCGATAAAATCAAGACCTGCACCTAATTCTTTGTGCCGCTGAAATGCCTCGATTTGTGTTAAGGTAGATTCCTCGAAACACTTTTTCAGCATTTAAATTGATTTTGTAGCAGTAATTCTATTGAAAAACACAACATTTCAAGGAAGCTCGTATTTAAAATTTTTTTGTTCATGGTAAGAATCGCCAGACAAACTTTTCGCGTCGTGAACAAGCAGCTGGCAAACACATACTCAATGGCATATGTAGATTAAACTGCACGCGAATGTAAAAAAGGGTTGTAGCAACTTAGGAAAAAAAAATTTTAAGTCGGTTTGAGCGGTTAGACCAGTCCGAGTCAAATTTGATCAGATGGTATTGGTAATAGCTATTGAAATATAAAGACTAAAACTAAATTCAATATAGATTCAGTCCTAAGATCTGAAAAATAATCAAAAAATCTATAACTATGACTAGAACAATTTGAAGATATTTCAAGTTAAATGTAATCACATAATGCAAGCCGAAATATTCTTGCTTGAGAAAGCTTGAGTAACAAGTATCAAAACTATAAAGATGATTGAAAAAAGTTCAGTATTTATTGATAAGCTCACATTCAACAACTTGAAAATGATGTCACTGCTTTTATGCAAATCAGACTTATATATAATTACATATACATATTTCTTTCATAGATAAATCGAATAAAATATATTTTGCACAAAATTATCAGGGACGCAGAGTAGTTTTGAAGAAAAGAAAATAACTAAAGATGTTTTTATACTTTTTGACCCACAGTTTGTCTAGATAAAAGATTTCTCTATACTTAGTATTTATTAATAACTAATTTACTAATTTCATTCTGAATTCTGATTGGTGCATGGTTTAAAAAAAAACAAAGCAATGATTGTGAAAAGAACGAAGTAAAAACAATTACAACCAATAATACAACGTAACGTCATGTGAGAAATTTCCAATTGCACCGATATTTAGTCATCAATAATAAATGAGTCAAAATGTATATGATCTTAATCACATACTTTGTAACGTCAAGTTGCTTTGAGCAAGCCCTCCGGCACATAATATATATATAAATAATTTGACTTTATAATTGATGACAGCGTGAATACTTAATTCCAAAAACATTTTAATATTCATAGTTTTTGGCATGGACCATAGAATAATAAAATATAATATTTTAATTATATTTTTAGAATAATAAAATATAATATTTTATTTTTCTACCTTATTTGCAAAAGTTAGTCACTTTGATTTGATCGGCTATGTAATACCGAAATTTGTCACATGTCAAATCAAATGTCTTGGCGGTAACCCGACAATCACGTGATACAAAAAATATGACGGAAATTTCCTACACAGTAATCAGTTCTATAAGATATTTGAATAATATTGTATGGCCTACTCATATGTAACACGACTCATAAGTTAGTGTGGAGTCGAGTTCGCTTATTGTAATGCCGCTAGGGATAGTCAAGTATGAAGTGAGCAGTTTTAGACAAAACGATTATCTAATACGAAATGAATTAAAAATTAAGAAAAAGTTTGTCTCAAAGTTGTTAAAAACTTGTATGAAACCCAAGCTTAGTTTTCAACCTGATTAAATATATTTTATATAACCAAGAGCTCTGTCAAATATATCCGAATTAGCCTAGATAAAAAATTCAGCTGGAGAGAACACATTGGGAATTAAACTGCCAAAGCTTTTCCAATCTGAAACTCCTGCAGAAGAGCCTCCATGGTCTATTGGTTCTACACAAGTGTCAAATGATGGCCCCTGGAACAGGTGCAACGGGCCTGCTTGCTAAGGATTATGGGCACAATAAAAATTACATCAACAAAGGCTCTGGCGGTTACCTTCGATATCCGACCATTACATATTCTAGTGAAGAAGATGCAATGATCACGGCCAGCCGGCTGATGATTTTAAGCCATCGGAGCCAGACTCGGCACCACTGTGGGTAATATACTCGATCTTGTTAATGAACTCGGACTAATTTGCCAATGCAACCGAGAAAAGGAGATCCATGAGGAATTAAGCACAATATTTTGATTCCCCAGTAGAGAAGAATAGGCCAGTGGTTCTGTGACTAATCAAAAGGGAAAAAAAGAATTAGGAAAGGGCTTTTTCTGCATTAATCCATACGCAGAAGGTAACTTCAAACCAAATTACTACAATACAGTCTTTCAAGTCGAACTTGTGGGCATAACAGAAGGAGCAAATATGCTTCTGCTCTAACCAACAAGCCCATAAGCGTTCTAGTGGACAACTAAGCAGCAATTAAGGCTACCCGTAGTGCCTATATTAAGTTTCACTGCTTTAGGTTATGCAAGCAGGCAATAACTAGAATCTCAATAGGTTTTGCTATTGGTTATCCAGTCATATAGGTCAATCGAATTGAATGAAAAGGCAAACGATTTGGCTAGCTCGAGGACAGCTAGGAGCACATTTCCTCTAAACTTCCCCAGACCATTCAGGGTCCTACTTCTAGGTAAAAGG